GACAAACAAGGATAGCTGCCGGACTTAAAGAACTACCTTGTTTATCCATGATACTTGGGTATGTTTTTATTTACATAAATTTACAGTGTTCATTTGTTATTTGTATCGTCACATTTATTCATATACTGAATTATATATCTGTCGTTCATTTAACATATTTGTATAGCCACTGTAAGGTGGGATAAGTAGTCCTAAAAAGTAAAGAGACCTGTATCCTTATTAAAATTTATATTGTAATACTTTGGGATTGATACCTCCTGAAATTCTGATGTAAGAAATAAATTTGTGTTCATGATGCTATCATTCTTGCTTAAGGAGAAAGACATGCAAATATGCAAAAATTACGAAGCGGAAATATGTTCTGTAATTTAGAACAATAATAATTGAAAATGAAGGGAAGAAAGGAAAAAATATCTGATTAGACATTAACAACATGGCAAAAAGTGCAAATAATTTTAAATATAATAAATTGAATTAATATAATTAACAAATAATAATAAATAATATAATAATAATAATGAAATGATAATAAATAATAGTAATAATAGTAATTAATAGTAATAATAGTAATAATAATATAGATAATAATCATAATAATATAATAATATATAATAATAATAGTAGTAATAATGAATTCAATGAAGAATTCGGTTCTCCAAATTTACAAGATCGTGATATATATTAGAAAAATGACAAACTCGCAAGTTTCGAGGAAAAGGAAAGAACGAAACATATGGTCTGAAACAACGAATCAGATCCATTCGTTGCGTATGAGATTCTGGGCTAACAAGAAGACCAAAAGTATTCATTCCGTGGCCCTATGTGACAGGTGATTCGCGTAGAGAAGAAGAAAAGAAGGAAAAGAAAAAAAGAAGAAGAAAAGAGAAGAAGAGAAGAATGCAAGAAGAAAAGAAGCAGAAAAAGAAGAAGAAAGAAAGAAGAAAGAGAAGAAGAAGAAGAAAAAAGAAGAAGAACAAGAAAGAAGAAAAGAAAAGAAAAGAAGAAAGAAAACGAAAGAAAAGAAGAAGAAAGAAGAAGAGAAAAGAGAGAAGAAAGAAGAAAAAGAAAAGAAAGGGAAAGACGAAAGAAGAAAGAAGAGCCAGGACCGGCAAGCAGAGAAGCAAGAAAAAGAAAAGAACAGAAGAAAAAGAAAAGGAAGGGCAGAGACCAGAAGAAGAAGAAAGAAAAGCAGAGATAAAAAGAGAAAAGAGAAGAAAGAAAAGAAAAGAAGAGAAGAAACAGAAAAAGTAAAAAGAAGAAAAGAGAAAAAACAGAAGAAAGAAAAAAAGAAGAAAAAAGAAAAAAAGAAGAAAGAGAGAAGAAAAGAAAAAAGAAGAGAGCAAAAAGAAGAAAAAAGAGAAGAGCACAAGAAAGAAAAAAAGAGAAAGAAAAAGAGAGGAGAAGAAGAAGAGAAAGAAGAAGAAAAGAAGAAGAAAGAAAAAGAAAAGAAGAAAGAAGAAAGAAAAAGAAGAAGAAAAAAAGAAGAAAGAACAAAGAAGGAAGGAAAAAAGAAAGAAAAAAAAGAAGGAAGAAAAAAAAAGAAGAAGAAAAGAAGAAGAAAAGAAGAAGAAGGAGAAAAAGAAAAAAAGAGAAAGAAAAAAAGAAGAAGACGAAAAAGCAAGAAGGAAGAAGAAAAGAAGAAGAAGAAAAAGAAGAAAGAAGAGAAAAAGAAGAATAAGAAAAAGGAAGAAGAAGAAAAAGAGAAGAAGAAAAAGAAAGAAGAAGGAAAAAGCAAGAAGAAGAAAAAGAAGAAGAAGAAAAGAAGAAGAAGGAAAAAGAAAAGAAGAAAAAGAAAGAAAGAAGAAAAAGAAGAAGAAGAAAAAAGTAAGAAGAAGAAGAAAAAAGAAGAAGAAGAAAAAAGAAGAAAGAAGAAGAAAAAGAAGAAGAAGAAAAGAAAAGGAGGGGAAAAAAAAAAGAAGAAAAAGAAGAAGAAGAAAAGGACAAAGAAGAAGAAAAGAGAAGAAGAAGAAAAAGAAGAAGAAGAAGAAGACAGAAGAAACGAAGAAGAGAAGAGAAGATAGAAAAAGAAGAAGAAGAAGAAGGAAGAAGAAGAATGAAAAAGAAGAATTTGAAATATTAACATGATGCTAACGACTCTTCTTGAACGCGAGGTATATTCAGATTTACTGTCCTGAGTAATTGATGTATTACTGTCTGTTTTGATAATATTATATTCATTAATAATATTATTATTTATGATTATCATTATTAGCCTAACATATATTGTTAACATGATTTCTTTCTTTTCTGAACGAGTAAACCGTATCAAGGAACTCAAGCTATTCCCGTAGCTTACATTTTTTTTGCATTCTCTTCATATTCTGATAGATTTTTGCCATATTATGATTCCTCTACTCAGTTGTTATTATCATTTGCTAGCATACCATTATTATGTTCATTATATATTATATTATTTATTATTATTATTATTAACCTTCGTGGTGTTTTTCCACAGAAATATGTGGAACTCCAGTTTAGTAATCATAACGGGAGAAAAAGAGACTGGCCTCGACGACCAACTGAATGTTCTTTAGAGTTCACTGCGAGTTGCAATAAAATCCCTCAAATGAATGTCTGATTGCTGTAACTGACAAATTAATTTGTTAATTAAATTGCGATTAAGGAGATTATTCTTTTCCTCATCGTTATATTACACATTATTGATATTATTATTTTACCATTACTCACAGTATCTACTGGATCGGCTGTCAACCCACACACAGGAATGATGACCAGGTTGTGTTGCTTGACTGAAGGTTCAAGGCTTATACCAATAGGCATGATTGCAAAATTACCGACTTTTGTATATTACTATACCATTCCTGGCATCCAACGTGAAGGACCATTGCCAAGTGCCGAAGAGTCATTTTCCGGATCACTTCCTGTAGCTGATATTATTATAGGCACAGTCCGTCAAACTTACTGAAGTTCACGTGAGTTGCGACTTTCATAGGCGAGATTGGATACTTCTGGATCTTCTCTTAGATATCTTCCCGATATGTTGTGGGTATTGGGTTTGCATATTTATCCAGATAAGGAAAACCTGCCTGATGGTTTCTATCACTTTACTTATTATCGGGTCTGATTTGCCGCCAACAGTCATGATCTGTCCAGGATAAATGGGAGCGATCCAAGATAGAGTGTGTGCCTCACTACTTTCAAGCACATTCTGAGCACATATTTTTATTATTGATTATTATTATATTATTTTATTATTATTATTATTATTATTATTATATTATTATTATCTATTATTACTGATTACTCTTTCACGATTGACATTTGAAAATTGTAGGGAATTTCCCTAGGAGTATATTCAACATATTTTGTCTTTAACTAAAAGTGCAATTAATTATTCATTTTTGACGCAGGTGCGGTTCTACCTCATGGAGCCGCCTTCGGCTGTCGGCGCCGCACCAAGATGGCTTCTCCGGCCCCCTTTCGGGCGGTCGCCCGTTCGGCTACGCCTTTCGGGCCTCGCCGCACGATACAGCCGCGGCCCGACTGACAACAGCGGCGCGAAAGCGGTAACCCCAAAGGAACGCCCGGCCCGCCCCCTTCACGTACCCCCTGCCCCCCTCCCACGACAGCAAGCCGCCCGTCACGGGCTACCCCCAGGGTACCCCTAGACCGGCGCGGTTTACCTACCTGCACCCCCACACTATCCACCTTCTTCTTCTTCTTCTTCTTCTTCTTCTTCTTCTTCTTCTTCTTCTTCTTCTTCTTCTTCTTCTACGCGAATCACTGTCACATAGGGCCACACGGAATGAATACTTTTTGGTCTTCTTGTTAGCCCAGTAATCTCTAATACGCAACGAATGGATCTGATTTCGTTGTTCAGACCATATGTTTCGTTTGACTTTCCTTTTCCTCGAAACTGCGAGTTTGTCATTTTTCTAATTATATCACGATCTTGTAAATTTGGAGAACCTAATTCCTTCATTTGAATTCATTATTACTACTATTATTATTATTATTATTATTATTATTATTATTATTATTATTATTATTATTATTACTATTATTACTATTATTACTATTATTACTATTATTATTATCATTATTATTATTATTATTATTATTATTATTATTGTTGTTATTATTATTAATTCAATTTATTATTATTTAAAATTGTATTTGACTTTTTGCATGTTGTTAATGTCTAATCAGATATTTCTTTCTTCCCTTTCATTTTCAATTATTTATTGTTCTACATTACAGACATATTTACGCTTCGTATTTTGCATATTTGCATTTCTTTCTCTTAAGCAGAATGATAAGCATCATGAACACAAATTTATTTCTTAATTCAGAATTCAGGAGGTATCAATCCCAAAGTATTACAATATAAATTTTAATAAGGAATACAGTCTTTTACACTTTTAGGACTACTTTATCCCACCTACAGTGGCTATACAAATATGTAAATGAACGACAATATATAATTAGTATATGAATAAATGTGACATACAAATACAAATGAACACTGTAAAATTTATGTAAATAAAATACATACCCAAGTATCATGGATTAAACAAGGTAGTTCTTAAGTCGGCACTATCTTGTTTGTCGTACAGAATACCGTTACTGTCTAAGAAAGTTGCGGGAAGAAATGGTAGAGTGAGATGTAATCCCCATGTGTATGGCTGTTTTCTTATTAAAATTAATATTGATATATTTTGTGATTGATACCTCCTCAATCTTGAATAATTATAATGGAATACCACAATATCTCTGCTGCCACCACGGAATTAATTCATTCATATTTTAGCATGTGTGTGACGATTAAGCGTATTTTTACTCTAAAAACATTATTGGCTCTTTCTATAAGTTTTTGTGTTACATCCTCTTTTTTTAAAGTAAACCACGAGATCGCTTTCGAGTTTGCGTCTTTTCTGTTTCATTTGCATTGTACGTTTCATCAGACTGCCAGTATCCTGGAGTGTCTGCGCGACCGGTCTTTTCGGTAGAAAGAAGCTGCGCTGTGCCCTGTGCCGCGCCCCCACCCTCTCAGGCTGCGTGGTACGTAAGCAACGTAAAGCTAGCAGTGGCTCTCAGGGTCTCTATTGCATAGTGATCTCCAAAATATCTCCAGGGTCTCTATTGTCTGTGCACAAGAAAAGCGACATATTATATAAAAATGCCATTTTGCAGGAGAACGGTTTTTATTGGAGTCAACCCGTTTATTTCGCAGCGAAGGACAAAGTTATATATTCTAAACTCAGTGGCCTAGTGAACTATTTTTTTCTTGACATTTATACAATGAAAAGATATAGAGTATTTTCTAAATATATTTTTTCGCTTAACTAAAAATTGACGATTTTTA